GGTTTTGAAAGTGGGGTTCTACCTACGTAGTTTTTATGAGTAGAGGTGACACTCTGCAGAGGTTGGTTATGAAAGTTGTATGTTGAGAATCCGCATATTTGACATGTTGCTCATGATTCTATAGGACGACACCGAGGCGTATGGCTGTGAAGTCATCATCCATGTGAGGATACTTTTAATTTGCTTCGACATACAGGACCAGTTTGACCACTTAAGTATCTAAGTGACTTGAGACGTGTGTGCTTGACCATTTTCACACAAGTTCAACCTGAGATATTGATTGATAAGACCTTCATTGGCAAGAAAAAGGGAGAGAGTGATACTTGTGATGATCAAGTCTAATGTGGTATGAGAATAAAAGGAAGAATTACTGAGCTAAGTGGACTGACTCACTAATTGTTTTCTCGGAGTTGGCCAAGCGACTGAACAGTGATTTGATTGACGGATAAGGTTCGATCACCCAGTTCACCTTTCGTTTTCTTTCCCTTTGTATTCCGTGCTAAGACTTTTTTTCTCTAGATTCTCCTATTATCTCTTTTGATTTTTGAACTACACAGTAATTTACGCTCTTTTCGTTATCCTATGAGATGTTGTTGTTTGCAAAACAATAAGCATCACCTCTTGTGCCTCGCAACTTTACCAAAGATGTAAGTGCAAGTCTTGGTCGATTCTATTAGCTCGGGCAAGCGTGTTGAGATGTCGAAACACACAACACGCTATCAACTAGCCCATATCTACTTTGAGGCTTCATGAGGCACTTGCCTCTTTGGTGAAGAGAGGCAGTTAAAAAATAAAAATAAAAAGGAAAAAGAGTACGACAGCAAATGACTCGTATTTATAATCTTTGACCCCTTTTATTGTCTACGATTGATGAAAGAAAAATGAAGAGTCCTACAAAAAATAGTGTATATCTTCTCGCCAAGTTCTTATTTGACAAGGACTAAGTCATCAGTCATTTCGAGACTGAGTATGTTATGACCAAACGATTATAGATAAACGTTCTTTTCTGATTAGGTTCGTGATACACATTCCACATGTACTTGATAACAGCTAATGTCAGACAAACATGTAAATGGGATAACAAGAGTAAAATATTTTCCAGTTGATTAAAATAATAATAATAATAATAATAATAATAATAATAATAATAATAATAATAATAATAATAATAATAATAATAATAATAATAATAATAATTACGTTCAAAAGAAAAGCAGTACCCTGACACTTCATTTCCTGGTGATCATATCACATCATAACGGTAATTTACATTGTATATGAGCAGGGGTTATGTTTAGTGATATCCTGTGTTGTATACGAACAAGGGTTGTGTTCAGTAGTACCTTGTGTTGTATACGAACAGTGGTTGCGTTCTTCTATGCCTAAGTCACATATGATTACAGGTCGCACTCATAGGTGACTTATGTTGTATATAAGCAAAAGATTTTATGCAACAACGTATTTGTTGAGAATCTCAGCAAAGGACTGTCATGTTGTAAACCTTAAGGACAGACTGCCTCGTTGTGACTCTCAACAAACAGGTCGATTGCAGAGAATCCTAGTGACGATTAGTAGTGTTTCGATGCTAGCAACAACGTGAGTCTCCTATGAGCAAACCATCGAAGGAAAAATCATTTGTAGAAGGTTATTCTGCAGTAAACATCTCATGCAAAGTCAGACCAACCATCAGTAAGAATTGTGTTGGCAGATTATCCATTAACAATCTCCTTTTGTCTCAAAGTCACCTCGTCTCTCTAGTCAATTAAATCAAGACTACTACAGACAACTTAAAAGAGTGAAAGGGAACTCATATATAGCAAAAACACTCTTGTGATGCCTTGCACCCTCTATCAAGACAAAGTGGAAGGTTGAGAAGAAAAAAAAAACGATGAGGATATCCTGTCTCATTTGATGTCAATGAAAGAGCGAGCACTCGAGCTACTGAAAGACCAAAACTTCATTGAGTATGTCGTTTATTTCCAGGGATCCTATGAAGAGTTGCACAATACCTCGTCATCCATTGAGAGTTTTGATCGGGCTAGGAGGATTGTCGGTGGCCAAAAATTAACTATTCAGATAATCATTCTCTGAGCCTAGTCCAGTTACTTCAACCCGAAGGGAACAACTAAGGAAGTCTCATGATAAATAAAAATGTTTTATGGGTGACGTGCAACACACGATAAGAAAGATCAAACAAGTGAAAAGACATTGAGACAGACCATAATCTAGTTCACAATGTATTACTAGAATCAGAGTGGTGAGATGATTAGTACAACTACATCTTTTGAGACAATCAACAGAAAAATTCCCACAAAAAATGAAAGTTGAAAAAATATTCTAAAAGAAAAAAAATATTTCATATCTATAAATTATCATTCCAATATTCGTCCAATTCTAAAATTTCCAGTTTGATTTGATAAGTTTCCATCTAAATATGTGTTTTCCCTTCCAACTACATTTATTTGTTCAAGATGGAATGAAAGTCTGAACGAGTTTATGGAATGTTTTAATTAAACTTTCATTTTACTATAACAAATATCTTCTAATTTAGATTGGATGAACCTACTTATGATTGAAAATCTTTACTTATAATGACAATCCAATTAAAATATTTCATAAACTCGTCCAGACTTTCATTCCATCTCTAGCACGCAGTTCAAATAAGAAGGGATACTCATTCTTGGAAGGAAATTTTTCAAGTAAGAAGGAAAATGTTAAAATTGGAATGACATTTTTTAAGATGGAATGAAATTTAAAATTTAGAATGTAATTTTAATATAGAATGGTTATTTAATTCTTGTAATTTTTTTTGTTGATCAAACAAGCCAGAGAGAGATCATCAAGGATTAGCAGTGATTGTCATTCACATGAGTACAGTTCAGTCATTTCCGGCCGACGGGTCAATCTTGACCAACCTCAACCGGATTCCTTCCAAGGAGGTCGTGCCATATCTCTATGTTCGTGTCATTGATTTTACGGAGGAGAATTTCACCATTTATGTTGTGCTCACGAAGTTTGCTCATACATAAGTGTATGCTCTGAGGTCTTACATCTAGAGAGGGAAAAAAACTCATGTATGTTTTGACTCAATGTTGACTGAAGCAACGGTTTACCTTGATGAACGAGCCGTCAACCTAGAGTCTGATGAAAAGGAGAAGTCAATTTACAGCTTCGGTCCTAAGCAATATGCAGATTATCCAAAGTCTCATATCCCATTCAATAGTTGTGATGGTTCTTACTGGGTTGAACTCGTGTACTTGGCAAATAGGTACATCCGTCCAGAAGAGATTGAATATGAGGCAGTGACCGAACCCTCTGGGTTTGACCATCTCCGACGAAGGATCTTCTCCATGCCATATCTTCCTATGTTATGGAAAACGTTTTGTGTGGTGTTTGTCTTCCAAATTATTGACCTTAGATGGTTCTATTCGGAACTCATTGACTTTAGGTGGCTCTATATCACTAGGCCACAATCTCAGGAGGTGCCTAGACGTGGCTCGAGGTAATCAAGACACGGTCAGAAAAGAGATTGAGGATGAGACTTGAGAGGGATGAGTGAGGACTCGTGACGAGTGTTGACTATATCTTTTTATCTGTATTTCTTGAAATTATTACGAGCTTTTACCTTCCCTCATTCATATTGTCTTTACCTTGAGTCAAGTTGGTCTTGATTTTGTCATGATTGACATTATTTGCTTCTAAATTGGCGATTATGAATATGTGTGTGATATATTTTATTTTAATTTTGTTATTTGCATAATCAATACAGTTCCGAACCAACTCAATTGAAGGTTCCTAAGACTGGGGTCTAGCGTCGACCGTAAATGAAGGGTCTCACTCGAAGCCTAGCGCACTCTACAGGAAGGATTTTTTTTTAAATTATTTATTTATTTGTTGCAAAGAAGCATAAAAATCCAATGTGACAGTCTGCTATCTATTCGGTTGTCAAAAATGGCCTGACTGAAAAGTGTGGGACAACAGTCCTTGCGCAGAAGGAGGGGACAAAGTTGAGGTCCATCAAGTACATGAGCAAAAGGATGTCATCCTGAAATTAGTTAAATTCACGTATGAGCGAGAGCTCTATGCCCTCAGGCTCTTTAAGGCGGTGGGCCACTAGAGACACTACCTCCTTGACATATTTTTTTATGTCAGGTCTGACCATGATTTTGTGCTGGATCAAGATGCAACCCGTACTCTCTGACGCACTCAAGAGATAGACTAAAGTCATAGATATATATGACTTTTAACTAGAAACGCTTAAAGGAAAACATAACAAGGTGGCCGATGTACTATTGCACAAGGAAGAGTATCCGAGCGCGATGGTAACTGAGTTTGACATTTCGGACGATGTAACTCGATGTACGGTAGAAACCTATCAACGTCGTCATGTTTGAGACCGAGTGCAAACTTGAGGTGAAGGATAAGGCTACATCCGATGCGTTTGTGCTGGTTGGCGACTTGCTATCCCTCGAAAAGACGGGGAATAAATGATTGTGTACTCCGACTAGAGAGTCTTTGCCATAGTTTATTTTTAAGAGAGTCCCATGATGTTTGGTTATAAGAAGACAGCTTCAAACTTAGTGCACAAATTCTGGTGGCCCATGATGATGGAAGATGCCGAGAAATACATAGAGACATGTCAAGTTTGTTTTTGCGATAAACCACGAACGCAGACTCCGCTTGGGCTCATCAAGCCCTTGGCTATACCTCTTGGTCTAGGTCAGAGCATGTCCGTGAATTTCATGGATGACCAACAAAAACGATAAATGTCACAATAACTGGATGAGGGACTTCGGTCTCCCGAAATCCATTGTTAGCAACAGGGACGTCAGATTCACAAGTGAATTCGGGAAAAGCATAGCCCAGTAGATGGGAACCCAACTGCGTATGACATCAAGGAATCACCCAGAGTCTCATGGCCAAGCTCCACAAATAAACCATGTAGTGCAGCACTTGCTTCGACATTATATTAAGCCGAGTCAGGATAACTGGGATAAAAAGTTACCTCTCATCACCACATTGTACAACAACGCCGTACACATCACTAATGGCATGAGCTCTCAACCAGTTGCATCTCGGCTCAAAGCCACGCTCATCAGTTGACTTTCTAATGCTCGAGAATCAGCCCTCGACAACGTCTGGCAACATAGAGTTTATTGTTAAGCATGAGAAGCTGCTGCAGCAGGTTGTCCAATATATAAAGAAGTCTCGGGATGCCATGATAGCATATGAGAACAGACACAAACAACCATCTACTTCCAAGTAAGCGAACGTGTATGGGTGAAATCTTCACAAGGTGTACAGAAACTGGGTATATCCAGAAAACCGTTGTTGTAGTATTTCGGTCCTTGGAAAGTTCTAGACATTGTGGGGGATGCACCTGACGGACCATCTTACGTTATTTGAGTCCCTACACACTTACGAACACACCCTGGCATACCTTCAAACTGGCTCCTTTCGTTGAAGCTGATAAGTTTGCCTGCATGAGATCTAATCAGCCACCAACCATGGATGGACAAGTGGACATCGACGACATCATTGAACATCAGTTGATGCCAATGCCTAAGCCACCAGGTCGGGGAAGACCTCTAAAACCGCGGATGCAATACAAAGTGCAGTTCAACCACCATCTTGATCCTAAATAAGATCGATGGTTCACGAGAGAAAAACTGATGAAGACTGTTCCCCAGATTGTCTCAGCATATGAAAGAGCATTGAAAGGGAAATAACCTGCAGAATGAGGACTTCTCAAGGAACTGTCAAAGTAAGGGAGGATGAAGTGCGAGGATTTACGCCCTCTATATGGGTCTAAGGGGCCCGTACCGCAAAATATGTGCCCACCCCAAATGAAGGTGGACCATGAATATCAAGAAGGCCTGAATTCATAAATTTTGCAAAGTCTTGGTGGGCACCAAACAATTGGCGAGCGCCAGTTGGTTACATCCGATGTATTTGTGAGAATCACAATTATTTGGCGCCTTCCGGACTCTTTCAGCAACGAAGGCAAAGCGGAGAGAGCCTCACATATACACTTGGGTAGTTGGGTTGGCCTTACCAATTCTGTCCCAGATCAGTGGGCCTGGGCACAAACAGTTTGGCCCAATCAGAAGTTACTGGGAACTCGGGCGCACGAGGCCGACGAAGCAAAAATCTCAACCACTTTCCATATAGGAATGTGATGAGCTGGAGAACAGGAATTGGATGGAGGTGCTGTGCAGGCGAGCTCGGAAGGTGATGGGCCCAAACAGAAGCTACTGGAAACTGTATTGGGGCCATCACCTTCATATAGGAAGGCATGGGTTGGACAACAGGCGCACTCGTTCGTGCAAGCGGCAGCACTGCTGGAGCGTGCGTTAGCAGTCTGCTTGTTGTGCGTTAGCGGAGGTGCTGTGCAGGCAAGCGTGGTAGCGAGGAAGGAGGGCGCTGCAAGTGGCAGCGCCAAAGCCCAGCCCCCATAGCCAGGCTGGGGCTTAGGACATGGTCAGCCAGAAACGGTGGTGGTCTTCGTGTGAGGGGAGATGTGGGTGTAGAAGGTGAGGGTGAGCGGTTGTGTAAGAGATGAGGGATTGGATGTGAGGGCACATGATATCTGGTCTTGGAGAATGTCTGCGTCGTCGACATCTGAAAGTAATTCGGTGATTGCTACTAACATCAATCGGCTGCATTGTCAATTCGTAGGCTGAAAGAGTGGTTATGTGATCGTAGTCTGGGCGATGAGCACCAAGTAGGAGAAAGGGTTCAAGATACATATGTTGGTGGTGGCGAGAGGATCCACTCATTGACATTGAATTCAGTGCTTTGGTTGTCCATTGGTGAAATATCAGTGCAATTCTTCCTTCTGGACTTCTTTCGAGTATCTGACTTTCACTGTGATTTGCCATTGAATTCTGTCATTTCGTTATCGCTCATTTTTCTTGCACTGGGTGTTACACACGAATATAACCCTCGCCAAGTGTTATATCCGTACACAATGCCCGACCATTATTTTCGCGTGAAGAAGGTAGTAACGAGAGTGTCCATTAAGTCCATGCACAAGAACTCTCTCAATCCAATTGAATAGGTAGTGGCTTTGGTAAGCCTAGAAGAACATGAGTTCTAGGTTTGTTGCACTGACAAACATGGAATGTCTCTACATAGTTTTGTGCATTGTTTATCATATTAGGTCAACATAAATGTTGCAACGAATTGGTATACGTTTTTTTAAACCACCCGTACACGCTTCACATCGACCTCCGGCCCCTGTCAAAGGCCGATATGCGACGCCTGCCACTGAATTATTTTGTCAACGACATGGCAGCACCAACTTGTTCGAAGTCGGCAGCGAAACATTTTCAGCAAGGCTAGGGCTGTGTACTGGTGATCTAAAACAAAATAGGGTCATGGTGTCATAACACTCACCTAAGAATAAACTACGTGTATACAACTCACGCCTAGGCTACAACCCGGGCAGCCTGGCCACCCCACCCCCCCAGCTTGGGACCCGCCCACGGCGCCCAGGAAGCCCAACTGGGTGGGCCGCCCGGTTGGGTACTCGGCCCTGCCAACGCAATAACCCTTCACCGGGATTTTCGAGCCTCTAAGCCCATGGGGTGACTGTGAGGGCCTTTAGGACCGGAATGCACCACAAAAAATTTGATGCCTGCTGGGCCCAATTTTTTTCCGTTGAATCTTGGGTCATCGATCCGCGAAAATCAGCGGCGTGGGAGACAACGCGCTTCATGACAGGGTTGCCACCCACCAACTCGTCCACCCGCATTCGAATTCGAATATGTTGAGCGAAGTGGTGCATGGCATTGACCCTGATGATGGTATCGTGACGATCTGCTTTTTGTAATTGCGCCTAGGCTACCAGCTGTCCGATTGGGAGACGTCTCCCCCGAACGTTTCCAGGAAACGGTCAGGGGGAGTTCTCCGAAAAATCAGACAACTTTTTTGCCAAAAAAAAAACGAAAAAAAAAACAAAAAAAAACGGGGGGGGTCTGCACACCACTAGGGGACCCCCCCGAAAAAAAATTCATGTTGTTCTGAGCAAAAAAAAATAAAAAATTCTGATATAGTGTGCGAGGTGTGATGGTGGGGTGTTGGGGGGGGGGAGGGGGGAGGAGGAAGAGTCTGAGAAGGAGTCTGAGCAGGAGGAGGAGGAGGAGGGTAACGGGGCGGAGGATGACGACGACGAGGACGAGGAGGATGAGTAAGAAAAGGAGGAGGAGGAGGAGAAGGAGGATGGGGAAGAAGAAGAAGAGGACAAGGACGAGGAGGAGGAGAAGAAGGAGGAGGAGGACGACGACGATGGGAAGCGGACAGAACCGCCAACATCACCGCGAGGTGACCTCGACCGCCCGAACATTTTTTTTTCCAACTCGGTCAATCAATCAATCAATCAATCAATCAATCAATCAATCAATCAATCAATCAATCAATCAATCAATCAATCAATCAATACAATCAACCAATCAATCTAACAATCAATCAATCAGTCGGGATCCCGTCGAATCGATTGGTTCTATAGGATCTTGATCAAGATCCTATCAAACCAATCGATTCGATGGGATCCCGACTAATTCATTGATTGATAGATTGATTGGTTGATTGTATTGATTGTATTGCTTGATTGCTTGCTTGATTGATTGATTGATATGATGTTCATCAACACTTTGGTGGATTCTGCTCGACATTGATAGGAAGTGCGGCATCGAGGGATCAAAAAGCAATGTCGCTATGAATCCCTGAC